AGGTAAATTTCGAGGACGAAATTTCTTGTAGAGGGGGAGAATTGTAACAACCCGAATATTTACAAAATAATATTAATTGAAATTGGAGGTAAATTGTGAAAATGGGTGAAATTAAGTGACTAAATTAAAATTTATGGAAACTTGTATGCCATTTTCGAAGTAAAGGAAATTCAGGGACCAAGCCTTGAATTTCCCCTAAAACTGTCGGTAGGCTTGATGATTTAAGCGTGATTTCTGATTGTAAATCAGAAATCACAAATGCTATTCCTTCAATTTTCTTCCTCTCACACCTCCACTTTCAAGTCCGATCCAAACGTCGTCCGAATTCCGATCGTTGTTTTGAAACCACCGTTGTGTTCATCATTGGGCGAGGAACAAACCCTTCAAATTAATTGAAGCGAAACGCGACCAAACGTCGGGAATTTCCAGTCAAAGTAGCGACGGTTTTGTTAGCTCTATCGCCGAGAAAATCTTAAATTCACCGCTGATCGTTGCTCCGTTTACGACACCTCCCGCACCATCGTGTTCCTTGTGTCGTTCCGAGTTCACCGGTGTCAACCTTGTCCGTCGTAGACGGCAGCGCGTGAGGAGGTGGTGCAGTCAAAGATTCGGCCGATTTGAAATCGAGCTCTCCGCCGTTCAAAAATTTGAACTGATCGTTGTAAGTATCTCGAAATCGCTCAAAATAATTTTTAGAAATTTTTTCGGGATTTTTAGGGCCCCAGAGGACGCCTCACGCACCACACGCGCCGCCGCAGGGCGAGTGGCTGCTAGAAACCGGTTTAACCGGTTTTCAACCAGTTCTGACCGGTTTGACCGGTTTTAACCGGTTCGAACCGATTTGACCGGTCTGAACCGGTTTGACCGGTCTGACCCGACCCGATCGTTGACCCGACCCGACCGTTGACCGTTGACTTTCTTTGACCAAAACTTAAAATGGCTTTGACCGAGCATTAAACGACCGTTAATCTTTTCCGAGTATACCTATCCTGATAGTTTTCAACGTGCCAAATCCGTTTCCGCTGTCCATTTTGTCAAATTCGAACCCGAAGGACTCCAAATCGACGGTCAAAATGGTTGATTTTGACTTTGACCAAGAATTTGAATTTTCGAAAAATCATACTTTATATTTTTCGACGTCCTAATACCGTTTCCGCAATTCGTTTGGCCAAATTCGGACTCGAAATACCCCAAATTGATAGTCAAACCCGAAAAATTCTTAGATATTTAAGAATTCTAGCTTTGAACAATTAAATAAGATTTGAGGCTGATCAATTATTATTGTTTGAAGGTACAAGAGACTTTCCGGATCATTCGACAGCTCGACCCAGCTCTTCTATATTAGTTAAACCACGTGTGCCAGTATTCACCCGTAAGACCGTAAATTTTATGATTTTAGGGATCTATTTATATTACTCATAAGTAATATAGTGTTATTGTTAAATAGGTTTGAAAACTGTAGCAGAGCGTGGTGAAACCAGCAATCAGTAGATTTGCTATTTGAACCTATTATCGAGGTGTGTTCCCTACTTATTACTGAACTGTTTCATTGGTTTTAATATGTGGTACACCGAATTCATTGGTTATTGTTTTATGGATGCACCAATTTAATGTGACAATTTATGGAATATGGCTGCTATCTAATTTTTGTTTTGAAATGGTATATGATTACCATGTTTTTGGATTTATGGAATTTATGTCACGGTGCAATTGAATTTTGGAATTGAATTACGATGGAATAGCTCTGATCAAGCTAAATGGGCCTAATGTGACTCTTGAGGGCCCCAAGATGTTTAATTAGGTCGGCTTTCCTTTGCTATGTGCTTTGGGTAAGCTATATGAACTTATTGACTTGGGCTTAAGGATACAAGCTTCAGAGCCTATCCATAAGTCGGCTTTCTTTTTGCTATGTGCATAAAGTAAACTATATGGAAAATAATTTTGAGAACTACTGATGGTGTACCAGAAAAGGGTTTAAACTATGATTTTCAAAAGTTAAACTCTTTTACGAATTTGTAAGATTACTGGACTATGATTTGTACCTATTGACATTTTATGGAAATGTTGGGACACACTGAGCCTAGCTCACCTTTTGAAAATGTTTTCCCCCTTTCAGATACTGTTGGTTAGATACCTCGGTTCGAGCACTTGGAGGATCAACATATCTCTTGAAGTGAATCAGATTGTAATGTTTTTATCTTGCAAGTTGACTTTATTTTGGTGACATGAACCTTATTTTAAATATCGGATTTTATAATGATGACTCTTTTGCTAGTACTGCTCGGTTTATTGTGATTTTGAATTTGAAGACATGTTTTAAATTAAATTATTATTTATTGGTACTATATTTACGAGTTGGATTTTGATAGTATAATTTGTTTATAATTTCATGTTATTTATAATGTGATTTTATATTGATAGAATAACGATTTCGGAAAATGTCTTTAATAATCATAATGTGATCCACTAGACTTAGTCGAAACGCATAGGCCGGGTCTAGGGGGTTACATGTGACATCCCGAGATTAACTCAATCTTTCAATTTCATACACTCAAAATAATAAAGTGGAACTCGTTTGGTATTATTCTTATCGAAGAGAAAGTAAGAAGAAATAAATTACTCTAAAGGAACAAATGATTTTTTTATGTATAAGATAATGAATTAGGATTTCGTATTTATGAGAAAAAAATAATCAACAAATCAATAAATAAGACAGAGAAGGTTATCATAAAATCTCAAGTGCCTCTAACATCTTTTATATATATATACATATTTATTTTATTTTAAAATAATATTTTCTTATTTAATTACATTATAAAAATAACCTATAACTCAAGTAGATCTTAGAATGCCTCCTTTTCAACAACTTCAAAAGCTTTGTATATAAAATTTAGATTCAAATTTTAAAAATGAAAGTTGAAAAATTACGAAGAAATGTGTACGTGTCGTGGAGATTCGATTAATCGAATATTGAAATTGAAAATCCAATAGGAGAGAATAAAAGAAACAATTGGACACATCAAAAGTAAAATAAATATGAATGCAATCAAAGTATTGTAAAAGGCTTATAAATCTACAAGGTTTGTTTCGATGATCCGACGGAAAATTCAAAATGAATGAATAAATCGATCTAGTTTTTCTTTTCTTTTCTTTTTTTAATCAAGAGAATTCCACGACCTATAACTTCGTTGAATTTGAATTACTGTCTTAATGACTGGTTTTCGCAGTGAAATCATGCAAACTAATCAGCTTTATTATACGTAGGAATCAGATACCAGCTAAACACAATTCCGTTTTTCCAAAATAATTGAGAACATTTTGGTTGAAAACAAACAGAAACTAAAACATACAGGAAAAAGGCAAGGCGAACCTTGAGCTTGATTTCATTGCAGCCTATCACAGAAGCGATGATCCTTAGATTTTTCTTTCAAGATGAAAATTGATCAGTAGTAAGAGAGGAACTGCATGAATTGGATTCAACCGACAACGTCAATCTCGACCTCTCTTCGTTAACGTTTGATTTCCCTTTTCCTTCGCCATCATAAGTTCATAACAGTCGATCAACCTTACAAAAATCAGTGGAAAACAGAAAAGAACAGCAGAGTAATCATTGGAAATAAAATTTTAAAACCGAAAACAATTGAATTTCTTTAGTAATTTGTGTTGAGTTTTCTTGGAAGGTGGAGCGGAGAGAAGGAGAATAGCTGAAGCCACAGTTCGTTCGAGAGGAGATAGAAAAGAAGCCATCCTTGAAGGTAGGCAATTTGGCGGGTCTTCTTTAAATATTTAAAACTTATGTTTAATAGGTTTAATTCATCGAGAACCCATAATTATGAAATACAATTTTAAATTAGTCCTCAAATTTTAAAATATTTTGATTAAATTATCAAAGTACCCATATCATATTAATTAGGTCTTTTTATAATTCTAATGTCAATACGAACGTTAAATGTCAGTTCAAATTTAAGGTGAAATATATTAAAAATATAGAAATTAAATTTTAAACACATATTTAAATCTAACATGTTAAAAACAAATTATATCGTTAAAATTTGAAACAATTGTTTTTGAATGGTTTAGGATCATTACAATTCGATATTTATTCAAAATGTTTCTTAGTTATTGACAACGCATACATACTCACAAATTCAGCTTCTTAAACCTAGAATCTTTAGTGAAAAATAACACCCCCTTAAACCACTGAGACCATTCGATAAGTTCATGATTTTTTATTTTAATTCCTAAATTATTTGAAAAATAAATATTATATGAAATTTTCATTACTCTTGTATGTAATAATAATTACTTTTGGTACAATATCTCTTTCCATCATTTATGAACGGATGGATATATATATATATATATATATATACAACAGCGGTTGTGGTTGTTAAGATGATTTACATCAATAGTTTATTTAAAGAAACATTTAAGTCTTCCGGAAATGAAAACATATGTTCAAGTGTAATTTAATTTACATAATGGAGCGGTTGCTTAACTTGTGCGGAAGTGTAAATATAAATTTAGAGGTTTATTTTAAGAAAATCAAATTTTGTTAAGTATAAATACTTATCTGAGAAATTCTAGGAAAATGAATAAAATTAGTAAAAAGAATACATGGAAGCAAAAGAGGAAGAAGAAGCAATATAAACATGGCGCCGTGTCCATCTTTCCCGGATCTTTTCTATAACGATTAACGACTACTTTCTCTGCCACAAACTCTCTAATATGATTTCCCATTCCCTTCCAAATCCAACCAAGGACGCATATATCACCATCATCTTTCTTTTTTCCTTCTTATATTTTGAGTTGCCAGTTCTTCACTGCTCTTTCCCTTCTCTTCCTTTAACTCGTAGACATATATTCTCTCTAAAGGTAACCTTCTAGTCTTTTCTTCTTTGATCATTGTTTGTTTTTGTTTTTCTCTGCTATAATCAATGGAAACGTCCTTGATCATTTCCTTTGGGGGTTATAAATTATCTCGACATCCATTTTCTCGTGTTTCGTTTGATGTTTGTTGATATGGGTACGCTTGATATTGTCTCAGTTTTAGTGGGGGGTTTTCATCTGCATGTGTATGATGTTGATATCAAATTTTCAGATTGTTCGATCATACTGCTTCTCTTCTTTCTCCTTGTAAAATATATTTCGTCTTTAAACTCTCTATTGCTAAGTGTAGGAAGCTTTTAAGATCATCAGCTATGGAGGTGATTTAATTTGTTTGTTGTAACTTGTAACCACTGAGCATTCGAGATTAAGGAAGACCTTAGATATTATTCAAGTTTTGAGCGATTGTTTTGCTCATCCAAGTCAATTACATTTTGCTTATTGATCCCGTGATTGATAGACCGGGATGGCATGTAACTGTTGCTTACATTGGCTTGTTGCTAAAGACACTGACAAACCGTGCTGTTATAGAAAGCAAAACTGATTTGAGCTTTTTCCCTGAACTATAAATTATTATTATTATTATTATTTTGTAATGTAACTTAATTTTCCTTGCATCATTTGGTTCCTGTATTTTCCCCAGTAAGATTTTTGTAACTTACAGACAGCTAAAGGTTGGATTTTTAATCTCAGTGATACAGAAGAATTCCTAGAAATGTCTAGCGCTGCAAAAGTTGTGGATCCTGCATTTCAGGGAGTTGGTCAGAAACCGTATCCTTAAAACAAAGGATTTATATATATATATATGTCTTTTATCCTTTATTACGAGTATATGGGTGTTTTATGGTCTTTTGATCATAAGAGAACTGAAATCAAACACTAATCTTTTCCCAATTACCAACATGAAAACGGGAAAAAGGAGAAAAAAATGACATTCTCTTTTCTTCTTGTTGAGGTCTGTGCTTATGATTGGTATTTCTCCTGATATTTTGTTTGCATAAAAGCTGTTGGACTTAACATCTTGTAGTGGGATTGAAATCTGGCGTATTGAGAATTTTCAGCCGGTTCCGTTGCCAAAGTCTGACTATGGAAAATTCTACATGGGGGATTCTTACATTGTCTTACATGTATAGAATCTACTTGTCTCTCCTTTACCATCCATATGTCATACATTTCTATGTGAAACATTTCCTTATTTGATTTTTGGTATGTATGCATTTCTGTAGACGTCACATGGCAAGGTTGGTTCCTATATGTATAATATACACTTCTGGATCGGGAAAGATACCACTCAGGTGTGCTTTTTATGCATGTTCGTGTCTTATTTTTTTTTAAGGATTTAAATGTTCCTTTAAATGAAATGAAACAACATTTTGAGATAATGTTTCCATATGCAGGATGAATCTGGAGCCGCTGCTATTAAAACTGTTGAGCTAGATGCAGCGCTAGGAGGCCGTGCTGTGCAGCACAGGGAACTTCAAGGCCATGAATCTGACAAATTTTTGTCATACTTTAAGCCTTGCATTGTTCCATTGGAGGGGGGTGTTGCTTCCGGATTCAAAAAACCAGAGGAAGAAGTGTTTGAAACACGGTTGTATGTCTGCAGAGGAAAACGAGTTGTCAAATTGAAGCAGGTATCTGATGATCTTTACATGAGTATGATGAGCATGGATACAAAGAAGAAAGAAAGATAAAAACAAAAGTTTCATGAACTAATTATAATTTATTCAATGAGGCTTTTCTGGATGAGGGAAATACCATTTTGGATTATGCTCTTGCAGGTTCCTTTTGCTCGGTCTTCACTGAATCACGATGATGTATTTATCCTGGACTCTCAGAAAAAGATTTATCAGTTCAATGGTGCAAACTCCAATATTCAGGAAAGGGCCAAGGCATTAGAAGTTATCCAGTTTTTAAAGGAAAAGTATCATGATGGAGTGTGCGGCGTTGCAATTGTTGGTAAGGATGATGCATTTACAGTATTGATTGATGATGATGTTTTTCCAGATTTCCTACTTCCTCTGCAAGTATTAATTGAATTTTGTACAAGGTTTACTTTATCTTACTCTATCTAAAGCCGCCACTGTTTTAACGGTAATCGTCCTAACAGATGATGGGAAACTGGACACCGAATCTGACTCGGGCGAGTTCTGGGTCCTGTTTGGTGGTTTTGCTCCAATAGGCAAGAAGGTTAGCCATGAAGATGATGTTATTCCCGAGGCTACTCCGGCTAAACTTTATAGGTAATTGTATCTTCTAAAAATTTGCTAAACACTATTACCATGCATCCTATTTGTATGTTGGTAATGATACTTCATTTTTGTTGTGATTGTAACCAGATTACTAGAGGCCCGTAGGCTCAACTTCTTGCCCTAAGGAAATCATCATATAAATTAAGCAAATGTGCTTAGAAATCGTTTAGTGGTCACAAAGATTGGATCAAAACTCGTAACTCTTTTTGTGTAATTGAAATCCTTAAGCTTCCTCATATTTCTGTCTCTTTTTAATCAAACTGTCCTATTCTGGCTAGTATTTTTTACCCTTTTATTTCAACCAATAGAAGTGTGAAGCCTTGTAAAACTGGTAGCTTTCATTTCAAACCGTAAACCTATTCTTTAGCTTTACCCAATCCGTTTATGTTTCTAAATGTTCTTTTGCAATTCATATCGATCATCTTTATGAGCCTGACAGGTTTGAGAATGTCCATATGGTCACCATCATTACGGTTAATTTAGATGAACTCAACTTTCTTAGGTTAGATACTTGTTTTCTGGTAGACCATATCTATAGGAGAAATTTAAGTGAGTAGGCACTCCTGATTAAAATCCTTTTGGGTTACTATTACTTTATGTTACTATTGTTTTTAAAGATGTACGTTTTTGTTAACCAAGGAATCACTGATTCCTGTAGCATAACTGATGGTAAGGTGACACCCATAGATGGCAAACTATCGAAAAGCCTCTTGGAAAACAACAAATCCTATCTACTAGACTGTGGTTCTGAGGTTTTTGTTTGGGTTGGACGGGTGACACAGTTAGAGGAGAGAAAAGCTGCCAACCAAGCCACTGAGGTAGAGATAAAGGCGTGGTACTGGTTTCTTTATGTACATCAAGATTCAAGAATATGAATTCTCATTCCCTACCTTTTATCTCCAGGGCTTTATTGCTAGCAACAATAGACCAAAATCAACACGCCTAACCCGCCTCACCCAAGGTTATGAAACCAATTCATTCAAGTCCCACTTTGACTCTTGGCCGGCTCAATCTACAGCTCCCGGGGGTGATGATGGAAAGGGAAAAGTAGCTGGTACGGGTCACTTAAGAGTCTACAATTGATACTGTTATATTGTGTGGTTAACATTATTTGAATACCGCTTTTTTACTGCCAGCTTTGCTGAAGCAACAAAAAGTTGCTGTCAAGGGGGTGACCAAACCTGCTCCTGTACAAGAAGAAGTTTCTTTGCTTGAAGGCGAGGGAAAGATGGAGGTCAAGTTAACAGTTTTAGTTAGTTATTGATATTTGACTTGTAGACACAAAAACATTTATATGGCTAGGGTGTTGCTTGTTTTTCAGGTATGGTGCATCAATGAGGGTGCAAAGACGCCGCTGGAAAAAGAGGATATTGGTAAATTCTATAGTGGAGACTGCTATATTGTGCTTTACACATACCACTCAGGTGAGAGGAAAGAAGATTTCTTTCTGTGCTGGTGGATTGGAAAAGATAGCGTTGAGGTAATTTACATTGCTCATAGTTGGTATCAAATAATTTAAATAACATGCCCTTTCAGTCATTTGTCTTCAAGTTTTTGTTAATGATAGATAGCACTGCTTTCAGTATAGCAATGTGAAACGGTGGGTTTGATGTTAAATAATGTGGATCAGAGTGCTGCCAATATGAGCTCCTTTTCAGTACTGAAAGAATGATAGATATGGACCCAATAGATATCATTCGAAATTTCGACTTGTTGATTTTTAAGTGTCTTCAATAAGTTGCCTTCTAAAATTCGTGCACGTCAACTTGGACTGCCATTGTTGATTTTTATTGTCTGCAATAAGCTGCACTTTCATTGTCAACGTTTATTTTTAATAATTGCTTTCTAGCTCATTTAGTGGCGACAGTATCTACTTCATTCGACTTGTTCTGTGCGTTGAATCAAAATTCCCTCTTTTCATTATTTTCGCATTCATAGCTTCAACCCTTCATGTGCCATAGGAGAAAGTTCATTTTCTAAAAGTATATATGGTTTTTAATTCAGGAGGACCAAAAGACGGCCGTCAAGTTGGCTAATTCAACATTTAACTCACTTAAGGGAGGCCTGTTCAGGTACCATATTACCTTTGGCTGAGTACTGTTATTATAATGCTTGTGTTTCTAATAGACGCTTCTTGCAGGGTCGTATATTTGAAGGTAAAGAGCCACCTCAATTCATTGCACTTTTTCAACCTATGGTGGTCCTCAAGGTATTCAATTTGACTTCAAACTTTTAGAAACTTACTATCAATGCACCATGGCATGGGGATTTTTTTGGCCTGAAATCGAAAGTAATCAATTTTAGCATGACTGATTCCCATCTAGGGTGGCCTTAGCGCTGGTTACAAAAAGAGTATACAAGACAAAGGCTTGAGTGATCAAACATACACAGCAGATTCCATTGCTCTGTTTCAGATAGCAGGAACTTCAGCGCGTGATGGTAAAGCACTGCAAGTTGATGCGGTATGCATTAGTTGGTTTTTCCTTGTCACCTTTTCCTTTTAAATTTTATTTGGTTGGTTTGATTTTTCCAATGATTGAAAATTTATTTTTCCTAAAAACATCATGCAAACAAGTAGTTTAATTTTGTATTGCATCCAATTAGTTTTAGACCCTAACATTTTCTGTTGTCACCGTTGACTGTACAATCTTATTTGATGTAACACCTTATCCATTTTGAACTTTTCATAATGCTTTTTTTCATAATCTCTCCATTATTTTACTGGTAGTGAGGTACGAGCTACTTTTATTGGACATCTAATGTGTTGTGATGGCTATATTCCTGCAGGGTTTTTTTAGGATGTGTGTTGTATGACTACCTATTCCTTTTGTAACCTAACATGTATACTGCTGGATATCCCTATTCTTGGATTTCTAATCATTGTTTAGGTGGCAAAATCATTGAACTCGACTGAGTGTTTCCTCCTGCAATCTGGATCTTCGACAATTTTCACTTGGTTTGGAAATCAAAGCTCTAAAGAACAGCAGGAATTGGCAGCGAAAGTTGTTGAATTTTTTAAGGTATACTCTACAGAAGGTTATTTAATTTTGGCTTTTCTTGTGACACAGGAATAAAGCACATAGTTTTTATTGAGAAGCCTGGTAATTACTTGATACGGTTTAAAATCTAAGTTTAAAATCTAAGTTCCAACGATTTGAGTTGACCAATTAAGTGATAATACTAATGATTATAGTTCATTTGAGTTCAGTGTTACAGTTTTCATTTGATCACAATTCTTCAGCTGCTTATACCTGTTTTCTTCTTTTCAAGGCGTAGTTAGTTAGATATTTGCATATTTACCTTCAAATCTCTTCTGAAGATATAGTGGGACAATATTAAACCCCTTTCTAGCTTAAATCTTGTGATTTGCTCCTCGTTGGTAAAGGACAATGGTAACACTGTTTAGTTCTTTGAAAATTGCCTTCCCCCATGTCGATCAATCATCTAATAATCTTTTGCATTCAGCCGGGAGTTACTCGGAAACATTGTAAAGAAGGAGCAGAGGTTTCTGCCTTCTGGTCTGCACTTGGTGGGAAAGAAAGTTATTCCTCCACCAAAAAAGAACCCGATGAGACTGTCAGGGATCCCCACTTGTTCAGTATCTCTCTTAATAAAGGTGTATTTCTTAACCAAAAACGTGATTTGCTTTGCCTCAGTTATTAATGAAGCGTATTACCATTCTAACTGTTTTTCCATGTTTTTATCTTTTTGGACACGGATGCCTCAGGAAAGTTTGAGGTGATTTTTTCCATCTGTAATTTAAAACTTGTTCTTAATATATGCAATATATATCCAAAGTCCTCTATATGTAAGTTTGCATTCCATTCTGCAGGTTGAGGAAATTTACAATTTCTCTCAAGACGATCTCTTGACTGAAGATATTCTGGTACTCGACACACATGCTGAAGTGTTTGTTTGGGTTGGTCAGTGTGTAGACAACAAAGAAAAACAAAGTGCATTCGAAATTGGCCAGGTAATACATAAACTTCAAGTTTTTCCATCGTAATATCCTTTTCATTTGCTCGTCATTCATTTTAGAAAATTCCATGCAGAAATACATAGACAGGGCTGTATATCTAGAGGGTTTGTCTCCAAAGGTTGCACTTTTCAAAGTTATTGAAGGAAACGAACCTTGCTTCTTCACTGCATTCTTTTCATGGGATTCTCATCGAGCTATTGTATGCGTCCTTGACTGGATTTTTCTACTTTATCCCTCTTGTCACTTCAATTAATGTTATATTGCTTTCATTTTCGTCAGCAACAAATTGAAGTTGTACTCTCAGTTTATCTAACATAAACTGGGATGGAAATTGATAAAATGCAATTGAATCGTTTTTAATCAATGCCATTGTTTTCTAGATATAGAAATGTTTGAATGCATGCATAGAGGGTCTCTTATGAGATAATTATACCTGTAACTTCGGTTTCACATATTTCTTGTCTGCACCTAACCTAAAAGGATCAAATGTGCTATAATTTAACAGAGAATCGATTAGCATTGTGCACTTGTTTTAAAGAAAGTACCATTTAATCTTCATGCTCCGAAAATTTTAAGAAATGCCCTGTTGTTTTCTCTAAGCGTTACAGCTCTTTGTATGGCATGGTTCATCCTTTCTTTCATATGTATTACTTCCACTGCATATGTTTGATATTTATGCTTTAGATGTAATCTGTTGAACACAGGTGCTAGGAAACTCGTTCCAGAAGAAGGTGGCATTGCTCTTTGGGGTTACCCATGCAGAGGTAATTTATTTACAGTATATTAAGTTTCTGTTTAGCATAAAGAAACATTTAGATCGTAAAAGTCGAATTGAAAGTTCAATGAGAAGCAAGGGCTTTCATTTCGGAAAATTATCTGTTTTCCCCATCTGCTTTCAGTTAGCTTCTAATGCATCTGTTTCCCTTCGTTTCAATTGGTTCGAAGATTAGTTAAGCTTTGTTTTCATCCCTTTTGTTGCCTATGTTACGGATGTGCCTGATTATCAATTCCTTTATGTTTTGTAGCCATTTCCACAAGCTACATGTCATAATGTATTGTTTGTTTTCATATATAATGCTTATTACTGAAGCGCAGCAGGATAAATCTGATGGAGGTCAAGGACCTAGGCAAAGAGCTGAAGCTTTAGCTGCCTTAACATCTGCATTTAATCCATCATCAGAAACCAAAACCTCAGGTCTGAAGCCTTCCGGTGCTGGTCAGGGATCGCAGCGAAAAGCTGCTGTAGCTGCTCTCTCCGGGGTTCTTACTGCGGAAAAGAAGAAATCACCCGAGGGATCCCCTAGAAAATCCACTAGCAGCCCTCCTTGTAAGTACACTTGTACTCTTGGCATTGCTTAAGACCAATACGTCTGATCTCGGTGCAATTTCCGATAAGTAAAATCGATGTCGTTTTTATGTGTAATTCTCAAACTGTATCTGATGAGATTGTACAGCTGATGCAAAGGGTGAACTGGATCCTTCCGAAGCACATGATTCTCAAGGGGAAGCTGAAGCCGAGACAGGTGAGAACAACCAAGAGACGGGTGATGATGGTGATAGGAGTGAAAAACGTACATACAGTTATGATCAACTGAAGTCCAAGTCCGAAAATCCTGCTCCTGGAATTGACCTCAAACGTCGAGAGGTTTGTCCCGCCATCGATGTTTTTAAGCTCACTCTCATCCTTTTTTGAATTATATCGGTGTTCTTACTCCTTTATCTTTCATTTGTCAGATTTATTTGGCCGACGAGGAGTTTGAGACGATATTCGGGATGACAAAAGAAGCATTTTACAAATTGCCAAAGTGGAAGCAAGACTCTAAGAAGAAGGAAGTTGATCTGTTCTAGAGCTTCATGCACTTAAGGCAAGTGATTTAAGTGCCTCTCAATGCATTCTTACTAGCAATTTGTCTTCAGTTCTGCCCCCAAAAAACATCGTATTATTGTTATACGATGCCTGGATTACCATTTTTTGTTCAGTTTTTCCGTTCCGATTAGTATTCAGATCGAATCCGATGTGACATGGATTACCATTATCATATACTGTAATGTTTTGAAGGTCAATAACATTCTATGGTTTGTTTGCAATATATTTCATCTCATCTTTTTTGTTAATCACTTATTGAATCAATCGATTAAGAACATATGCTTTTCATGTCGATCCTTATTAGTCTCCTCATCTCCTAATGAGAAAAACACAAAATCTAAAGTTCTCTATGTCATTTAAATTTCACTTTTATCAAAATAATTTTATGAATTTTATTAAAATGCGAGTCTTTTTATATTTCATTCCTTATAAATCTTGATTTTTCATCTTCTTATATATCTATGATTTTAGCCTAATAAATAGTGGCATCGTAGAATTCATAATGCACAAGTAATTGAAAAGCAATATCTTGTCCTTATTTATCTCTTTTTCTTGTATCCCTTTTACTACAAATTCCATAATTTTATAATGTGTTATCGTTATAATTTTGCTCAATTATCTTAGTTCGTGATTGATGATTATCAATAAGAATTTCATTTTAATATTGATGACTACATCAATTACCTATTCAACTTAGCTTGAAAAGTTTGGTATATTTTTCTTATTTATCTATTAAAGTGTATTTGATTTTTTTTTATATTTTGGAATAATTCTCTATATCGAAACTGTTCTATGGTGGTTCGAAAAAAAATCTTAAGTCTTTAAAAAGCTCAACAAGTCGTTTTGAGTTAGGTATGACCGAATACTTTCAAATATGGTCCGCATCTAACTTCATGATCAAAATCGAGATCAAGAGTCAATTACGCATACGAAATGTTAGAACACTCCCATAATGCATAAAATTAATATCTTTGGAAGAATTGAATGTTGTCTCGTCTTTAAAGATAAAATAAGAAAATTTGCGGATCTTAGACAGAGTCGGTGGGTGCGTTTGCGCAGGTCGTCTATCTCGAAACGAAAGCGTTTTAAAGTTTGAACAATACATATCTATGTACTTATTTTATTTTAAAGTGATCTTCCACTTTAAATAAAATTAAAATTATCCCATAATTATGCAGTTAAATAATTTCATCATGCAATTAAATCCCCAAATATGGTCCCAATGATCAGAACTTTAACTTAAATTTAAAATTTCATATATAGAGTATAAACCAGATTTTCACGTATGTAAGGGAAAAGATATCCCTTCTTTTTATATTCTATAATATTTGGGGACCAATTAGGAAATTTTACAGCTAGCATTTGTACATCCAATCTTACATTGTCACTGTCAAATAAAAGAAAAAGAAGGCTAAACTCCCTTATTGAATGCATGCACTGCAATTTCCACACTTCCAACTTTGAATTTTCTTCATTTTCTCACCTCAATAATTCATGACCTGTGCATTTTAGTACATTTTTTATATCCATATCATTTTAAATTTTATATTATATATATATATATAATAAGAGAAGTACGAAATCGAATCTGAAATTCGATATCAATTAAACTTTTGTTTCACCGAAATATTATTTACAAAATTAATCTAAATTTTTAATTCAAAATTTTGATAAAAAGTGAATATTCAAGTTTACAATAAAAGTTTACAACTATTATTGTAAACTAAATACATAATTTGAACATTTTCTTATAGCATTAAAACTAGTCACTTTAGATCATATAAAGACATACATGGAAAAGATTAAAAACCCAACCAAAATACTTAATCAAAAAATATATACAAGTAAATATGACTGCATCAACAAACAGACCACAAGAGGGGATTAAGCTAATGAAAAATCACTGAAAACCGCAAATCAGAGCTAAGCGTGAGAAACTATCAACGATCGCAAAATTGCGTATCCAATTTCAATCCGAGAGTCCACAACAGGGAAGATAAATTATATTACAAATAAGTGTCATCTTGATCACTAGCGACGTTATCAAATCCAACATTCAAAAAACATAAAATAAAAAGAACGGCCAAATGACCGAAAAATGTGTCACAAAGACAGAGAAAAATATGTCATGAAGACATAAATAAACGTACCACAAAGGTAGAATTTTTCTTATAAACAACTCAAAAAGAAAAAAAAAAATATAATCGACGATCGGTAATCGACAATCGACATCAAAATCAATGTCGTCGTCGGTTAAACAAAATCAAAGAAAAAGAAGTTGATATGATCTATAAAAAAATATAAACTCTAAAAGAAAAAAAAAAGAGGGAGGGGGTGGGACTTGGAAGAGCGACTAGGAATTTTTAACTTAAATTTTAAAATATTTTAATTCGATTCTTTCAATAATAAAATACATAAATACGTACTCCTCTTTTTTTTTTTAATCAAGAGGGTGCACTAAAGAGTTATAAATCGAGCCTCAAATGAGATGGACCATGAATGTCTCGAGCGATAAGTTGTTATACAGTTGATAGAAGTAGTGTTTTCATCTCGTGGTGTCCATTGAAGAGTAGTTTCCCAATTATATGACCTTAACATGTGAAGATTACTAAGTTGTTATCGCTTAGCCTCGTCAATAAACTTAATAGCAAGACAGTTTGTTTGAAAGTATATATACATCCAACCTACAAAATTACGTTCTTGATTAAATTTTATTATTTTTAATCTTATTTTAACAAATTATATTTTAAAATTCCAAATTATTTCAAGCGTTAAAAATCAAAATCAAAATTAAAATAGAAGGTGGGTGTAAATTTTCATGTGTGAATCATGTGATGAAACGTGGCACGCCATAGGGTGTCGGTGGGGATTGGCTTTGCATATATCACCTGTCTGTGACGCTCAGCATTTACCATTAGCAATCTATTTTATTCTCATTCCAAACGCTGCGCCATCCTCCCTCCTTCCTATTCTTCCTCGTTAAGTCTGTACAGCAGGGAAGCTTTGTCAGAATTCGCATTTCAGTATTTATTTATTCAAATTATGTTGTAATTTTGATTTTCTATATTATTTAATTAAGAGTGAATACAATTTAATTCAACTTTATTTTTTTAGTTTTAAATTATTTGAATTAATTTAAATTATGGTATAAAAATAATAATTGGAGTATTAAATGTATATTTTATTCTTTAAATTAATAGTTTAAATATTTTATTATTAATTAGGGTGAATACAAGGTAATATATGTTTAAGTACACTCAATCATTTGATATTGAACTTTCAAATACTCATGTATACATTGTACTCGAACCTGAAACCTCAAAAAATAACAACAAATCCTTAATCCTTAAATGTTGAAGTCACTTAATTAGTGTAATAATTTAAATTTTAAAATCAATTTAATTTAAATTTTTGAATAATTAAAAGTTCAAATATCAAATTTACATCAATTTTTATTTAACTAATAACTTATTTTATGATTTATCTTACTTCTTGATACATTTTTCCTTTTAATCTCTTAACTTTATTCAGTTTTATTCTCTAATCGTAATTCTTTATATTTTCTTTAGTTTCATCAATCTCTTGAATCTATTGTATTATAATTACTATTTTATCTTTAAAATCTAATATTTAAAAAAATTATTGTATAAATTCATTAGGTGACCTCGGTGGTTAAGAGAAATAGTATTTTTCCTATAGATGAGTTTAAAAATGGGTCTGTAAGGTGTATTTGCGTTATCAATAGTTAAAAAATATTACGAACATATACTACCTTGTAATTATCACATACTATTAAAAAAGAAATATTGTATACTTTTATGTAATATTTAATTTATTAAATAGCATTACAAATCTTATTTATGTATGTGAAAAACATAATATATATATTATAAAGAATTAAAGAATCATTTAAATTTAAATTAATATATATCATAATATTATAAATAAATTTAATTAAAATTCCAAATAAAACATTTCAATTTTATCTAAATTTAATCTTAAAAGTTTCAATATAAATTATAAATAATAAATTAATACTCGATAACTCAATTACCTCAAATTTTTCTACTACGACTTGATGAAATAACAAGTCACCCATAATCTTGATACTATTAAAAAAAAGAGAAAATCTTATTGGGAATGTCAATCATATACTTAATTTCATGCACTCTCACGTGATTAATTTTTGTATATAAAATACCGTTTAATATCATATTATATATGAATAGTAATAATAATTTTAGCTTATATGTTAAAAGTAATAAATGAATATACTTATTTGACTGGCATTACTCTGACAGCTGAGGTGAATTAGATCACAACCATATCCACGTGGTGCTAATCAATATGTTCACGATTTCCTACATTCATAGTTTGAATTTTATACTTTATTAGTTATTCCCTAAAATAAAAATACTCGATCATTTATTTTCTTTCAAGATACATTCCATGAACAAAAAATACAAGTATATAACCTAAAGTCAAAATTGTAAATTAATATTAAAAATATATATTAATTTTATTAAATATGTAATGTCTTTACGTATAATCAATTTTTTACAAAAAGTTTAGGTAAGGGTAAGTACAATAATTTGATTTATGGATAAAGTACACAAATGATTATCGACTATAGTATGATATTTTGTTGAGTCATTTAACTATTAAAAATTGTAAAATGGGCTCCAACTATAGAATGTTGTTTTGTTGAGTTCATCGACTATTCAAAGTTATAAAATGATTACCCGCCTATTAATATGTTCTAAACTCATAATTTTACGTTAGAAATTGATGGTTGTCTAAGTTGGACGTTAACATATTGACTGAGACATGATGAAATTATATTGTAATGATATGTATATTACACTGTCGTTGCTTTCAAGCGCTAGTTTGATAATATAATGTTTTAATCATTGATTCAATGGTATAATGTAAATAGAGACTTGATCCACAAAATATAGTTCAAACAGTTCCATGATTATATTTTATTATATCCCAGTGAGCATATTAACGTCCAACTCAGATGGCTGCCAATTTTTTGACAAAAAATAGCGAGTTTGGAACATATGAATAGTTGAGTGACTACTTTATAACTTTTAATAGTCGGGAGACTCAACAAAATAACACATTATAGTTAGAGGATCATTTATAACTTTCAATAGTCGGAGGACGTTACAAAATAACACCCTATAATTAAAGGATCATTTGTGTACTTAACCCTTGATTTATCTTATTTGTAAGTAAAAATTAG